TACAGCAAATGCAGAATAATATCGAGTAGAGGAGATTAAACACCTTCAAAACTCTTAATTAACCGCAAGAAATAGAACCTAATTTCTTCAGTAGATACATTTCCTATTTTTGATAATACCATTATTTAGATGCAGACAAACATTTTACCACGCTACTCAGTTTGGAAGAACTTACATCAAAATGATGATAAGGTACAAGTACACTAATAGAGAGGGAATAGAGTAGGTAAAGATTTTAATATTATTGGTTCAAATATACTGAAAAAAAAATAAAAGAGTTTTTTTTACTATTGTAGTTAGTTAGTGTAGAGCAGAGTGAAATAGTAATTTTCAGCTGAAATGAGAATACTCTCGTTTCAGTAACATCCGATCAAAATAAAATCTATCCAACATATCGAGGACAAAATGTGACGGTCAACACCGTCAATTTCGAAAGATTACAACGTTTTAAGTATCTGGGGGCCGTAATCACAGCTGACAATGATATTACTGAAGAAATAAAAGACAGAATCCAATCTGCAAACCGCTGTCTATTCGCACTGGATAAGCTCAAAATCAAAATCTCACAGAAGTTCAAAGATCAAAATCTATAAATCCATCGTCAGACATGTAATAACATACGGATGCGAAACGTGGACCATGACCAAAGCAAACGAAGAAAAGCTCAGACGCTTTGAACGAAAAATACTTTAACATGGTGAGGTCCGTAAAATTTTCGGACCTCACCATGACATCACAACAAACCAGTATAAGATCAGAACCAATATCGAATTAAAAGCACTCTACAACGACGCCGATATTGTCCAAGAAATTAAATCACAGCGACTAAGATGGGCAGGCCACGTGCACAGACTGCATAACGAGAGACTTGTAAAACTGGTATGGGAGGAGATTCCCACAGGCAAAAGACCACTCGAACGTCCCAGAATGCGATGAAGACCGAACAAATTGGAAAAAGTTGTACAGTCAGCCAAAACCCACCCAGGGTTGTAGCGGTACGTGATGATGATAAACAAATCAAGTAACGTAATATTTACAAAAAGAAAACAAAAGGATGCTAGTTGATCAGTGTAATATTAAAAAACTGTTTAATGAAAACTTGGTAGCGTAGATTGGGAAGATGAAAATGTTACCCATTATAGGCTAGTAATACTTAGCAGAACAAAATAAGTGGTAGTTACAATGGAATTCGCTGTGATAAAATGAATCATTTATCGTATTCTCTCGCAGTTACAGTAGGTACTATTCTATCCTTAAAAAAAAGACAATAAAAATAGTTCCCCGGATCTATTTGAACAGTCACTCAAGATATTTTTTTTTGTTTTTGGCGCTTTTAATTTTTTCTAATTAAGTGTGCTACCGGATTTTAAAAAGACACTCTGTTTAAAAACAATTTTTAGCAAAATATCTCTTAAACTTTACTTTTGTAAGCATTATTAAGCCTAAAAATTAAATATTTTAATAATATAAGAGAAAAAGTTTCGGCCTTATCTAGGTTAATATCATCGACTGTATTTATTAGTATTTAATTTATTCAACAATAACTACAATTTATCGCTTTTACCTTCTACCGTTATGGTTATCTTTCTATTTGAAGTGACAAGCACCAATATAATAAAGAAATTGGTTTTCTTGTTGAACAATGGCATTTAAACAAAAATAAGAGAAATATTTTATAATGATGTAGAAACTAAACCGTACTATTTTGTGTTTACTCACTAATCGTTTATTGTAGGCTTTTAGAATAGAATGGCTGCTTTGATAATTGCGAATAATTAATGTTCTTAATTACGCTTTACCATGAGCACGTGAAGTTTATAGAAACATGACAGTCCAACGTCATCAATATCTAAAATAAATTGGTCACTGTTATTTTCCTAAGTAATTATGCAAATACGGTTTTATTTGATTGTTAACACTTTTTTAAACATACTAATTAAAATTTCTGTAAACACAAGGCGGTTTAACAGTGTAACTGTGGGCCATAAAACCAGTAGTTAAAATTTATTTAACAAAACGTAGATTCAATGATGAATTATAAAAGTAATCGGTGGTTCATGTCCGACAATTGTAATATATGCTATGATATTATCTAATAGAAGTCTGATGGAAGAAACATTTTGTCTAGTTTTAAAGTTTTTAGGATAAAAATTGTTTTAACAGAAGATTCTAAAATAACTATTAATAAAAGTAATACATAGGGTCAAAAATAGAAAACGGTCAAAATGACCGCTCTAGTGCTTCTAGTGTTAAAACATAACTGAATTCAATATTAACGGTAGTTTAAAATAATCAAAATATAGGAGGACTAACAGGTCTGGGTCGCTGAGAAAATTCATATGTGGGTTTAAACTTTAAACTTATTATTTGGAAGACAAACATAAATTAGTTATTAAATTTTTATTCATTTGTTAACAAGAAGGTTCAGGATTATTTAAGTGTCTTACTATTGTTACTAACACACTGACCCATAGAATATTATGTCAATATTTAATTTTAGAAAACCCTGTCACTAAAACTTTAATAGTTATTTAGTTGCTCATATCCGTATTTTCATTCCATTCGTCTGTAAACACAACCGCTCAATCTCTTTCCTATTGACCAGACACAAAGGGTGCTGCATATTTGGTTTTGTCGCTGCAGGTCTCAATGCTATCCAATTGTATTTACTGTTTCGTCTTTTACACACGGGTAGGAAGTGCTAATATATTGAATCGATATATCAATCTGAACATAGTAGTCGGCAGAAATAAAAAATGTTTATTTTCCTGTCGGCATAAAAGTTTCTGAGATTTACGTACAGATTTTAAGAGTAAAGATAATATTTCGCATTTTTTTATTATGAACAAACATAAATAATGAAGGAAAGTGTATTATTTATTTATAAGTAGATCGAATGTTAATGGGAATCCAGTTACAAGCTATATTCCTTCACAATAAGAAAGTATGTTTTGTTTTTATTTTTATTACGTAATAAAAACAAATATCTATAATGTCATACACCGCAAAAGCTAGACCAAAAACAACAAAATGGAATAGAAATATAGGTACTTCGTGGAATAGCTTGAGAGACTCTTCTAGACAGAAAAACAACTGAAAATATAAAAAATACATGGGTAGCAGACGATATTATTGATTGGGTTCTAAAAAAGAAAAAAGTAATGAACACTCTAGCAAAATGGAAGAAAGAAGAATGGTAAGAATCGCCCGAGGTAAATCGTCAACGGGATGGAGAAGTATATTTGCCGATTCCAACAAAGGAGGACGGACAGCAGCTGGGTGGCTTTTGGAACACAAAAATGTATTGCTTGAAGCACAGACATTTTCTGAAGCTTGGTGGACATCAAGGTTGGTACTGCTTTCCAAAACTGGGGAGAAGTATCGCTACATATGCCTCCTTCCATATATCTAGCAATTGAGACATTAGAAAGCTGAGACATCTCCGAAATAATTCGGATTTTGCAAGGAGAAGATAACAATTGTCGCAATTTTTAGTATAATCTAGGCATTGCTCAACTATAAAGCAATTAGAAGTTAAAAATTCATTCAACAGTTTGCAGTGGACAGAGGTGATGCGGCCATTGGAGAAGAGGGAGTATCTTCTTTCTGATGAATGTAATGGCATAATATATTTTCGAGAAAAGGATTATGCTTAAAAAAGGCACGTTTATTGACGTACCGGCTGGAGTCACACAAGGATTGGTATTGGGTCCGACACTGTAAAACCTGGCATATGACGGGGTGATAAACTTTGAATACGGAGAAGGTATAAACCGGATTGCGGGTAAAATATACGGCAAACTTTGTGAGGGACTGGATGACAGATTCCAGACTGGAAAAGAGAAGGGATGGAAGTTCAATGTTCAGGTTTACAGCTATACTTAAAAAAATGCGTCAAATATCTGAGAGTGACGGCTACACCAATCTCATGGTGGACGAGTAAAGAGAACCAGTCTGTTGAGAGTAGCATGCCTGCGGCAGCCTTGTGGACTATCATGGGTTGTGTTCTTTTGCATGTGTTAGCAGTAGAAAGAAGACATATTCTATGAGAGAAGAAAGCATTTTACAATGGACATAAAAAAAGAAAAGAACAAGATCAACAAAGAGATGGTAAGAAGAATAAAACAACACGGAATATGTTGCCTAGTGGACTAAGATGCTGATCCTGATCCCAGCCCACTAGTCCACTAGGTGGACTGTGGTCGTAGGCGACTGAATTACTCTATGACGCTGGTTCTAAGAGGACATGGGTGTTTTAGGGCAATGCGACATTGCTGGAGTCTAGTAGATTGATAGTGTAGAGAAACAGAATGTATAGAGAAGTAGGTATAAAGGTTGTGAATGTGAGACAGATAATCGTAAAGATAACGATAAGTAAGAAGGGATGAAATAGTGTACACAATTATATCCTAGCAGTCATAAAGAAAGAAGAAGAAGAAAAAACATCAGTCGGTTGAGTCTGAAACTGATGCTTCTGCGTGTATTATCAAGTACACTAAATATTTACTTCGTGTGGTAAACATATTATTTAAATTATTTTGGTACACTCCACAAAATACAACACTTTGCCCTTCAAAGGGTCAACTAAACAAGTCGAAGCTCGGTAAGGAACTGCAAATTAAACTTTCTGCAATGTCATGTGTATCTTTTAACAGAATTAGGTAATGTTGAGGTCCATGGAAGAATTTGAGAAGAAGATACTGCCTTATGTCATGACATAATACAAACTTTGAATCAATATAAAAAAAATAGCAGTATCTACTTTAGTAAGTAGATACTGCCGTTTACATTCACATCTCTAGGTGTAGGTAAACAGCAGTAATTAGTTATTACGTTAGATCCCCCTGTTACAATCCCATTGGGAGTTACGTTGTTATTTACTCCCTTTTGTCGTTGCTAGTTCTCGTATATCGATGGTGTAGCGCATAAATATTGTAAGTGCAATCTGTAGGAAAATGAGTTAAGTATCACGTAAGTATATTTAAAGCTATAGAATTATTATGCACAAAGGTAGTAGATTAAATCCATAAATATAATACCTCTAGCGCTATCTGCCATTCAGTATAAGTACTTTACACTTAAAATCTGTATGCGCACTTGTTGTAAAATCACCAGCACATTTTTGTGCATGTCTTTCTTTGACGGTTTATCCAACAAATGGTGTACCTACCACTTTACACGTGTTAATTTTGAGGTTATACAATATTGTTTACATGTTTAATTTTAAAAGTAAAAGTTTTGTTTTCTAGATTCTAGTGTAATTGATCATCAAAAGAAAAGTTCAACAAGTACGTCTAAGGTTATTCTATCCACGGAAAGTATATCAAGTAAGTAATATTATATCAAGTAATTGTAGAGAAAACCTCATAAATAATATGAAAAAAATTTAAAAAATGAATAATTTAGGTAACTAATAGTCCCTATTTTATACATTTGTAATTTTTGTTTGTAGATGTGAGCAGATTACAAAGTGAGCTTCGTAGCACATCCGGGACTGCAAAAATGTTTTCGGATGCATCAAACAAAAACAGTGAAAGTGAAAGAGACCATTTTAAAAATTCTAGTGAGTCATACGTACCTTCAGATTCAGAATTAAGCTCAGATGATGACCAGATAATGGAAGAGCCCCTTAAACAACACCGGGAAGAGCTCGCACAACAAAAGAATAAAACAAAGAAGAGAAAACAAGGTAATAAGTTTTTATGGAAGAGGTCCATTGTGAAAAGAAATAGACTTAGTGGAAAGAAATATATAAACAGGAGTGGAAAAACAGTTGAAGAAAAAAAGCATTTGCCCGTTTCTAAATTTGTTTATTAGAAGATATTTCACAAATATGACCCAGCTTTGGATTTTTTCATTCCGAAAAAGGACCATTGTTTTAAGTGTAATGCTTATAATACTGCTAAAGAGAAGGAGCCATTAAAAGAGGAATTTGACAGTCACAAAAAGAGAGAAAATGATGCAATGCAGATGAAATCTGAAGATAAGGAAAGAGCCGCTAGAGAAAAAGGACAAACTTTTAGAGCCGCAACATTTGACTTATAAGCAATTTTGTCAGTGCCATTTGCGGGAGATAATCAAATATTTTATAAGTTAAAGCTAAATGTATATAATTTTACAATTTTTGATGCGTCAGATTGTAACAAAAATGGATGGGCTGGAGCGCCAATATAACAAGAATGTGTAGTGTAGCAATAGGGTAAACTCTAAAATGTACCTTGATACACCAACGAACTAATATGTGGAATAACAGAAGATGAAAGGGAGTAGATAGAAATAAATTATGTGAAAGAAATAAATCAAGGGTAAATATGAATTTTAAAATATAATAAAATTAATGCTGGCTAGCGACTATGCAGGAGAATGACCACTTGACAATCAAAGAGGGATTCGGCCAATTTGCATGCCCTACAGAGACCGTAAGATGTAAGAATTAATGACTAGAAACTACCAAGAAATAAACAGAAGAAAGATAAAGTTGCTCTAATGAATATTTGGGCGCCAGGAAGTTAAATGGTTTCTTCCGAGATATCTTGTATTGCTGAAATATTAAAGGATAGGTACCAAGTGAAATCTTAAATTGTTTTAACCCAACTTTAATAAAGACCTATTTTATGTACAAATTATTTAACCCCTTATATTTAACAATATAACCCAACACCTCATATGTACAATTAACTAATCTATATTTACAGTAAAACCCTAAATACAATGATAAAACAGTTTCCCCTTTCCCAAATGTACCTATTTATGTGAAATGTTGACTAAGATTATGCAAGTTATATAAATATAATATAAAATGAAATATATAATGATATAAATGTTACAATTATCGAATAAATGAAATAAAACCTCTCCGGATATGTGTGCACACTATAACCGGTTAACGAGAGATTCCAGGGGAGTTACAATCTCAACCCTTGATGAATAATAAATGATTATTATTAATAAAAAGTTAAAGCCTTGAAGAGGAAGTTAAAAGGTATTATTACAAATTTACACTGACTATTATTTAAAAAAAATGAATATGATTATTATTAATAAAAGTTAAAGCCTTGAAGAGGAAGTTAAAAGGTATTATTACAAATATTAAATGAAAAAAAACAAAGAAACAAAACTAGTTCTTCCTGTCGGTTTCTTTCTCGGTGGACCTGGGAGGTGGTCAGGATGAAGAACTAGATGCAGGTGGGTAGAGGTCCAAAACTGGACTCCAATAAAAGGTACTGAGACTTTTTACTCTTTAAACTAAAACCATAGAATTCTTCCCTGTGTTTAAATCCCCATAAATTTAAATTAAAAGTGTTTCTTCCCTCCCCGACTTGTCCTGGAATCCGTAACTAGGCGGCTGTGGTCCAAACTTAAAGTGTTTTCCCAAAACAACAAAATAACAAAAAGGCTTCTTCCAACACAACTGATTTTCCAAAAAAATAAAAAAATTAAACCAAACTCATGGCATAAAGATGGCCCCCACAGCCGCCTCTGAACACGTCTGCTCACTTCACGGTTCCAAGACCAAGTCACGAACACACGAGGTTACGACGGAAACGAAGTAGAATTTTTACATAGAGGGCGCAACTTGCTGCCAACTTTTAGGCATAAAATTTACTGAAGTTATTTGAATTTTAAGCATATTTCAAAATGAATTTAATTTATAATTAAGTTAAAGGATTCCAGTGACAGGACAGTAAGTGGGTATTTAAGTTACGGACTCGTTACATACCCCTCTTACTTGGAAAAAAAAATTTTTTAAAGTGAAAAATTTTTTTTTCTTTCACTTGACTGATTGGATAGATGTAGGTTAACCAATACTTCAACCATATGTGGAGCAATCAAGAATCGAGAAAAAAAATATATAAACATATATAAAAATTATAGCCATGGCACCAATTTGCCAAATACAGCTATTATATTAACTCACTATAATATAACTCACTATAATTACTTCCAAAACAATCTACATCGATTCACACGATTATAATTAACCACTGATTGTGAGTGATGTAGGAATAAAAAAAATGGTTTCATCTAAAGATACCCATACTACACATACTATTTAGAGTAAAATTAAAGTAAAGTAAGACTCTAACATAGCATAGTATAGACTAGTAATACAAATGCTCAATACAAATAATCCAAAATAATGTGAAATCGGACCCTGGTTCCAAAATTGACTCATCAATGGACAACAGATTTATAGGAGAGCATATCCAAGGAATAATCAATCAGGCAAATAGGTGGACCGATACACAATAATAAGTAACAATAAGAAATACCAAACGTATATAAAACAATATACGTAACAATAAAAATACTAAACGTATATAAAACAATATAAGTGTCGAATTGGATGGTAATCCAAAATTGACCATACAGTGGACAACAGATTTATAAAGTAGCATATCCAAAGATAATCAATCAGGCAAATAATGACCCAATTCACACTATAACCAAATAGACCAAAAAGGGTAGGTCCACATATACCCACATCCGGTAATATGTGCCTAACCTAAAAATTCATGAATTAAATTATTGGATCAAAATGTGGGACTAACGGCTTAAACAAAAGGACAGCCATAAAATCGATTCCATCCTGATGATATGCCATCAGTACATTTGGGATCCAAAATAGAGACCAAAAATAAAAACTAGGAGGTGTTATAAACTCAATCATCCTAGCAAATGCAAAGCTGAACAACTTAAGCTCAAAAGGTGGAGTACCAAAGCGTGTGAACTGCTGTGGTAACTTCTTATAACAAAATTGACTTATGCTGATATTCGATAACTATAGCAGGTAGCTACAACAAATTTATAAGAATATCTAACATAAGAGCAGTAAAAAGAGTTTAATGTACCAGTAAACTCTAACAACCATAGCAAAATAGTAAGAGTAAGGTAGAAGTAATAACAAACAGAACATCAAGAACGAGTAGACCAATTTCTGAAGAAACTGCAAATTTATAGGTCGTTCTGATATTAATAAAAGAGAACAGGATAATTTCTTGTTCAATATACCAAAATATAGATAAGTGCCTAAGGAAAGAAGTGAAAATAACTATAAATGGTCATTTGTTGCCAAAATATGAAATACTATTCATAACTGTAATCTAACTTGCTAGCTGTAAAGGGAATATGTCATGGATTGCTTCCTCCAATAAACTATATAAGTAAGAATAATAAATCAGCTAAGGAACAATTCAGTTATTAGACCAAAGTCTGAAAATATTAAGGATTAACGTTAAATATTCAAATCCTAATTAACATTAACAATAATTTACTATCTATGGAAGACATTCTACTGCCTAGATAACTGTACAGCTTGTCATGAAAATGGTGAATTCCGAAATTCATAGAACAACTGAGGCCTCTAATTGAACTAAAACTTCGAACCCACATATTCATTCACCTATACACAGGCAGAATAGTCTATATAATATAGGAGTGTACTAAAATCATGTATACTGATTATCTATATAAATTCCTAATGACTGATTTAAAAAACATCCCACATAGCAAATCCAGATACATGTTACTATATAACTTGATTATGACCAATAAACTGAATCAAATCCGTAAAAAAAAATACAACATTCTTTCCAAACTGGCAAAACAAGTAAGTATAATGGGAAGAAAGTGATACAACACATAAACATATAGCACAGTATAGTAGCATTACAATATTTAGTTCCATACCAGTGCAACACCTAATATAAGTAAAAATCTCTAATGGCTTTAATAATTTTAACTTATTATAAACAAATACTAATCAAATTATAAGCTGTAGATATTCCAAATCTGGTGATTAATAACAAAAATTTAAGAAAATATCAAATCGTAACCAAACCGAGCCAAAACAATAACAATCATAGGAATAAGTTAACTTAATAGACATTAAGTTAATCTTCCTCTGAAGATGAAGATGCTGCCTCATCTGTTGTGTTATCAGGGAGTAAATCCTTTATATGAAATTGACCAATTCGTCTATTTGTCGAATTGTCTTTTAATTCATATACTAAAGGAGATATTACCCTAACGACAGTACAGGGAACATATTTCTGACAAAACTTAGCAGAAATGGCATCACCTTTATTTGATTTTACAAAATTCCGTTTCAAAACTCGATCGCCCACAAAAAATCGCAAATCTCGTTTCCTCAAATTATACTGATGCTGATTTCTAAGGTAAGAAGCTTTCAACTTCTTCCTAATGTCAGCGAATATTGGAGGTAAGTTTTGAAGATCTTCCATGCGGTGAAGTTTCTCAGAAATTTGAGGAAGAGTTGTTGAATTTTCAGAAATTAAACCAAAATAATCACCTGACAGTGGAACATGCCTACCAAAATTAACATAAGCTGGAGAACACTGAGTGATTTCATGAACAGAAGTTCGAATGGCTTGAGCAACTGAATGGATATACTTATCCCAAGCTCTATGATCACTGTAAGTGTAAGATCGAAGAGCAGTAACAATGCTACGATTTACACGTTCAGTGTGGTTAGCTTGCGGATGATAAGCTGCATTGTAGAATATCTTTTGGACCTTATATTTACTTAATAGATCTTTAAATGCCTTAGAAACAAATTGTGGACCATTATCACATGATACTATTTGGGGAATACCAAATAGTAAGAACACTTGTTCCTCTAAGAACTTCAAAATGGCTGGAGTTGTAGCCTTACGCAGAGGACAAACTAAAGGAAATTTGGTGAAGTAGTCTACAACTACCAAACAATATGTGTTACCTAAATAACTACGTGGATATGGTCCAATAAGGTCTAAAGAGATCATTTGCCACGGAAAATTAATGTTCCTAAACGAACCCATTAATCCAGCTTGAGGTAGGTTACTCGGCTTGCACGTTGCACAAACTCTACATCTAGAGATGTATTTCTTAACTGAGTTGCGCAAACCAGGCCAGTAATATAACTCAGCTATTTTACTAAACGTTTTATAAAAGCCAAAGTGACCTGATGTCACATCATCATGAAAAGTTCTTAAGACTTCATCCCTATTTGCTGTTGGGACTACTATCTTCCAATCAGACATATT